TTGGCACAGGACAGAGTGGAGTTTAGGGCTGTTGTACATAGGGTCGCTATGAGTCACAGGCGACTCGACAGCACATAACAACAACAACAACAACATGTGTATGTCTCTCTCTCTCTCTCTCTGTCTCTCTCTGTCTCTGTCTCTATCATATCTCTCTCTCTCTAAATATTAAAGGTGAGTGACAGGTTAATACATCAGGTGAGTGAGACTACCTGCACAGCCATATTCTGCCATATAGGAGTCCGTAGGGAATGTCCATGCACTCCTAGCTTTAGCTAGAGAGGCAGCAGGGAGAATAGATGGCAGGTGACGTCCCTACCTTTGTTCTTGTTGGCTTTCCAGTTTTAGTGAAAATCCTACCTGTCCTGCCTGTGTGTAGCTTGCTTCATCTTTGGTCTCACTCAATCGTTAGAAATGGCTATTATTACCCTGGTTGATCAATGAGAAGGCTGAGGCACAGGGAAGCTCAGCAATAGCTTGCAGTCAACAGGTCAATAAGCAGAACTCAACTCATAGCTGAATCTCCTCTGGGTTTTCAGAGGGTGTAAATCACATAGGAAAAGAGTACCCATCTTTCTCCCTCAGAGCAGCTGGTGGCCTTGAATTGCCTACCTTTGGTTTGGCAATGCAACTCCTTCCCCACTAGGCCACCAGAGCTCCCAATAAGAGGAGGAACCAGGATTTGTAAATATCTCCACAGGGCATATCCTTCCCCCCCTTGCATAGTCGTCTATTTATTTAACAAACAAACCAATCAACCAACTCTCACATAGATTAGTAAATCAACCTGCATATGTTTGACTCACATCATTTTGGCTCTTGTTCATTACTTTCACTGGCTAGGCTTAGACCCAGACCGAATGCAAGAATCTACCCTTGTGGAAATGATAAACTAAATATCCTTGTACTGGTTGACTTCTGCAGACCACCATGTCATGTTCTCAATGGCAACCAAGAGCTTCCTTGATTAAACAAAACTGCCCACCTCTAAATGACACATAGCAATTTACATTAATTTGAATTTTCATTTGAAAAAGCTGTAGAACAGGGGGTGAGAACATGCTGTACTTTCTGGAAACCTAAAACAGACCTAAACTGTTGTTGCTATTGTGTGCCATAGAATTGGAAGTGACTTGTAGCTGGCCCTCCAGCACATTTTCAGAAGGATGGGAGAAGATTGCCCATCCTTCTCCCATGTTTTAAACAATAGTTTATTAAACTAAAACAAGTTCTTAAACAGGTACACTGACAAGATCTCATATATTTAAGTCAATCTTTGTTACAAGAAGAAAACATTCAGCCAGTCCTTTCAACACAATTCCATTATTTCCCATAGATATAATCCACCAATAGAATGGAGGAGGAAATTATGGTTTCGACCCATCTTCAGATAACCTTGGTAAAGTAGAGAAGAGTTGATTGAATCTGGGCAGAGAGTGTGGACAGTGAGTTGTCCTAAGTGGGTGCTGGAGTGGGGCACAATGAAGAGGGGCAGAGGGTTTCCTTTCAGGGGTATGAGGGTCTAAAGAGTGAGAATGAAGAGTCTGAGGGGTGGAGGAGGAGAGGAGCCCACCAGAGGTTGGGATAAGTATAGGCTGGGTGTCAAGGGGAATTGAGGACAGACATAATACAGACCAATAAAGAGTCGATTTATATTCCAAGACTTACCAGAATGTTGGGCTTTCCACCTGTACGACACCTCCAGCAGGGCAGATTCACCACCGAGAGAGGGTGATGCAGTGAAAGCAGGAGAGGAAGTGAAGTCTTGGGTACGGTTGCTCAATCCAGGGGTGGAGTTCTTGAGGTTGCAGGCTTGCTTCGGATAACTTTGAATGATTAATTCCCAGGTCACCTCTTTGATGGTGACTTTAGAGACCCTTAGAGCTCATGATAGGA